CGCGCGGCCATGGCCACTGGGAGCATCACCACGCTGCCCGCGCGGCCCGAGGACGGCGGCGGCGCCTTCCCGCCCGGCCACTTCAAGGACCCCAAGCGGCTGTACTGCAAGAACGGCGGCTTCTTCCTGCGCATCCACCCCGACGGTAGCGTGGACGGGGCGCGCGAGAAGAGCGACCCCCACGGTGAGTGCGGCTCCGCCCAGCTCCCGCCCCCAGGCCCCCCCACTCTCGGCACATCGGGCCCTCCCTCGCCAGCCCCCTTCCCGCCGTCCCAGCCTGCAGTTCCTCCCCTCTGACCCCCCCTGGAAGGCCCTCTGCGGTGTGGGGTCACCTTGCCCTCTGGGGGAGCCCAGGGTGACCAGGCAAGTGTCTGGGAGCTGAGCTGGAGGTGGCTGGGCACAGCTGCCGATCGCTGCCCATCTGCCGGGCACACGTGGGCAGAGCCAGGCGCAGGCTGGCCTCTGTGACGGCCCTGCCTGCCTCCGCCGTCCTGAGTTTCTGACCCCAGTGGGCAGGGCGCAGGGCAGCAGCCTCTGCCTCAGGGGCCGTACGTGCAAGTGCAAATGCCTCTGCCGCTGCTCTGTGCCTGTGAACAGGGCCGGGCAGCTCCGCTGGCCGTGCTCCGCCCGGGACTGGACGCCGGGGCAGGACGCCGAGAGAGCCGTGCGGCGTGGGCAGGTAGCCAGCCTCGTCTTCCTCCCGGACAAACAGCGTGCTGCAGAGACAGCCGGGCCTGAGCAGCTGGTGCTGGACAGTAGGGCTCTAGGCCCACAGCCCGCCCAGTTTCAGGCCCGGCTGCGGCCCAGCGTGGGGCCTGGAGGCCCAGGGGTGCGCGGTGGGGACCAGGCACCCGGCGTCCAGCGGCCTCTGCCTCCTGGAGCGGGACGCGGGGCCTGCCCCTGTCCTTCCTGCCGCGGAAGGCCGCCTTCCCCCGTGTCCTCACTGCCCGAGGCAGCAGCAGGGGAGGAGCCAGCAGGCCTGGCCACTGCAGTCCCCAGCAGCGTGTCCTGGCGCTGGCCAGTGCGGGTGGCCAGTGGGGCGGGAGGCGCCGGCTCCCCGCCCCCAGCCGCTCCTGAGCCAGACACTGTCTCTGCCGAGCGGGCCGTTCCATGTCCTGCTTCCCTGGCACAGGCCGAGGGCCCTGGGCTGGGCCGCGCGGCAGCGGGGGCCCAGTGGATGGCCGTCGGGCTTGGCCTGGGTGGTGCTGG